AAATAAATGTTGAGTTTCTCAGTAAAGACATTATTGTCAAGAACGTTACTGCAGATTATTCAGGGACAACACCAAACCACTCCGTCCACCACAGCTGACTGAAAAGCTTTCTTGAAGGTTCAAAGATCTTTGAGTTTTAATAGAGGCCCATCAAGCACATCAAGTCTTCCTCAGTATAGGAAGACTTGCCACTGAATGCTGTATTAGGTGATGCTGAAATATGGCTGCTGGTACTTGGCTTTTCCTTTTTCCTTTATTATTAAAAAAAAAAAAAAAAACACTTGACAATGCTTTTCAATTTTGATAATTGCAATGACAAAGTTGTTAGATTTTCAACATCACAGATGAAAGAGGTACTTCATGGGGGAAGATCAACCATAAAACAGAAGGCATACATATTTATTTATTTATCTATCAACGAAGGCCAAGCAGCTTTCACAGTAGCAGCACTGTCAGTCGTAACCAAAATAACCTTCTGTAGACTGCCAATATCACTGGTGATATTTTTAGGTTGGTCAGCAATATATGGGGTTGTGAGACGATGCTCAGGTGTGCACTGGAATGAGTAAAATTGGTTCTGGAGTTGTTACGATGAAGTTGATGACACTCCCATTGCAAATATAGCGCCATACATTAGATACTAGGGACACATGAAGGGCTTTTGTATTAAGCATATCAACTTCCTTTTTCACATCTGCCTCAATCCAAAACACTCTAATACCAATCTGATGAACATCTGAAGATTTCCCAGGAGTGGAATTTCTTGATACTGAAGCACACAGACTAGCAAAATTATTGGACCTTGTAGCTTCACTTTCACCATGACTCACACTGTTAGGAAACCAGTACATGGGTGATCTTGGCTAGTGGGCAGACACCCAGAACACAGGTGTAGTCCAGACCAGTTCCCCGGGGAGCAGGGAGTATGAAGGGCTCTGGCATCAGAACTGGAGTCAGAAGCCATAGCTGGAAACATGGTAAGCCAAGGATTAATCATGATCAGAAGTCAAAAGCCAAAGTTGAAGGTCAAGCAAGAATTGAGAGCCAAGAACAGTAACCAGGGAGTAATGCTAAGCTCTTACAGAAATCAGAAGCTGGAGTCAGAGCCAGGAGCCAGTACCTGAAAATCAGCAAAAGAGGAATCAGGAGCAAGAAGTTTCACCATTGCCCAGACAAGAAGACTGCATGCTGGGTCTAGGTTTTATGGGCTGGAGTAGGTGTGGGCTGCTGCCTATGGTTTCAGGGGATTGGCTTCCCTGAGCCTCTCAGACCAGGACACAACTCTGGGCTTGCTGCAGGTGGAACCTGTTCAGGGGCTCCCCTGCCCTGATTTCCTTTTTGGACCAGCTGGGTCCAGAGTTCTCATCTGGCATCATTATATACATCTTTATTAAAAGAATCCATGCTTTGTGAAGATACTAAATTAGAATGAGAACATGAAGTGAAAAAACCTAAATGCTAATGCAGACCAGTTTGCTCTTTTTTGTGCTTGACTGCAATAATTTATCTATCTTTGATAGTAGCTGAACACCTAATTAAACAAGTGTTTCTGCATTCTATCTGCATGTGTGACTGCCAGTTCACATGGAGGGGGCAGGTGGCCCGTCCTCCCTACAGCACATGCAGTGGATCCAGGGGTGGTCCTGCCCTTGGTCACCGCTGGGACTGCTTGTTTGTCTTCCTGCTCCCTGAATCAGGTGTTGCTGTTCCTGTTTGAAGATGCCTATCATTACAGCAGATGATCACTGGGAGAATCTTCTCTCATGGTGGTGGTTTTGGTTCCTCTATCAACAAAAAGCAGTTTATTCATAGTTCCTTGAAATTGTTCTGATGCAGTTCTCTTCTGGTTTTGGCCAAGTTGTTCATTTGCCAGACCAGAAAGAAGATTCTGGCTGGATGAATCCTGAGGCACTGCAGGGCTGTCTTCTTTTCCCTTACACACATGCATCTATGTGCAGAGCTTCACTGGGTCCCATCCAACAGTTTCTAAGCTGCCTGGAGCTTTCTGCTCCAGATCTTCCCTTGGCACCCTGGTTATTAACCTGTAACCTTTGTTCCCATCAGGACTTAATGACTTGTTTTGGGGGGGGGGGATGGAAAAGCTTCTAGAAGAGCCCTGCCTCAAGAGAGAGAGAAGCAGGGCAGCGGGTGCCTGCTCCTAAGTAGAGTAAGCATGTGTATCTCAGTCTGCAAGTCTGAGGGGCAAGGTACCCTCGCTCCTGCCTTTGCTAATAGGTAACACTATGATGCAATAAAAAAGGGAAGCCATGATGGGAATAAAGGCATTCTTGGCCTCATGGAATATTTGACAGCTTTTGACTTTAGTCAAAGAATAAGCACTTAATTGACAAGTCATCTGACATTATTTGACCAGTCAACTGACCAGTTTGCTAACTCTACTCTCAAGCAAGTCAACAAGAACTGAGCAGACTGTAAGGCAGGGGTGGGCAAAATGCGGCCTGCGGGCCAGATGTAGCCCACGAGGCCATTCCATCCGGCCCATGGGACCCCTAAAAAATTTAGAAAATTAATATTTATCTGTCCCTGGCTGCCTGTCACACAGCCCTCGAAGGCTTGCCAAAACTCAGCCAGGGGCCCTCCACCCGTAATAACTGCCTGCCCCTGCTGTAAGGGACACTCCTCATCAGTGGAAGCCATGAACAGCTGGGACACACAATAAGCAACAAGAAGTTAGCTTTAACTCTTATATATGCTACCCCTGAAGCTTCCAACCAGCAGAGTTATTCTGACAAGTACAAGAGGTGGGAGTGGTTCTGTGGGGGTTGATTATACCTTGGATTCAAACTGGTCTGTAATCCAGTTCCTGACTTTGGTACTTAGCCTCCAATTGAATGGCCAAGTAGAGTTGTGTCAGGATGAAGCTGTAGCTCAGGGGCAAGCAATTATGTTGGGTGGAGGGCCACTTAACAAGTTTTGGCCAGCTGCTGGGGTGATGCATAAGTAGCCCCGTTCCCTGGTTGCCACATTGGGACCTGAAGTCCTGTCCCCTAACCCTTGCCACTAGAAGTCCCTCCCTTGCTGCCCCCCCTGAAATACTCCTTTTGGGAGGGGTGGGTGTTACCATCTTAGAACCAGAAAAAAAACAAATCATACACTAGAAGTCAAGCACCTATTAAACATATTTTAATTGTATTAAAAAATATATTTGTCATGACCTGTGATTGTGTACTACATATAGAAGTGATTGCATAAGTTAAAAACAAAGCCTCGTTCTTTTATATTGTGTGTGTATGGTAGGGTGTGGAGGTGAGTGTGGGGGTGAGAGAGAGTATGGCTGTGTAGCAGGACATAGGGTATGTTGAGGTGTATGTATATGTCAGTGGGAGTTGTGAGGGCAGGGTGGCGGGTGTGAGGGAGGGTGGCGGGTGTAGGCGTAGTGCCCGATAGGCTGGATGTGGCCTATGGGCCATATTCTGCTCACCCCTGCTGTAGCTACTCCACACCTACCTTGCCACGTGCCCTCTCACAGGGGGAGTAGCTGAGACTCAGGCTCTCAGAGTCTATTCCTGTTCGTGGGACCAAAGAAATAGCTTTAAGTCCCATGAACAGGAATATTCTGAGCCCTGTGGTTGGGCCTGGAAATTCACAATTTCCGAATGACTGAGTAGTCACGCTGCTGTAGCAGCCTCCTATCCAAGTACTGACCTAATTCAACTCTGTTTGGCTTTTTAGGAACTTCCCTGAGCACAGCTGGTTAACCTTTCTATTTCCACAATGTCAGTCAGTGGATGGGGACAGATTATACAGATCTTCAAACCCTAGAAAGAAAACTACATTAAAAGAATTCTGTTTGGGATTCAGAAGACAAGTCTGTGAAAGTCAGTCAGTGCCACGCTCAGGACTGCCTGTGCAAGTTCGGTTACATGGGTGACTGGTGCCTCTGGAGTCGGAGGAGGCCCCATGTCCCCCAGCGGCAGATTTCATGGCTAGTGTTTGCAGGGGGTGCACAGCCAATCCCTGCGCATGGCCAACAGTTACATCCCTTGTACATCGCCCCTGCCCACTGAATGAGACGGGGCTCCCAGCAGGGAACAGGGACGCAGCCCCCCTGCCCTTAGAAGGAGGCACAGACACAGGAGAGGTTCATCCCGGGGGGCGCACACAGCTGCAGACCTGTCTGGCATTGCGCAGAGTTGAGAGGGGTGCACAGCCAATCCCTGCGCATGGCCAACAGTTACATCCCTTGTACATCGCCCCTGCCCACTGAATGAGACGGGGCTCCCAGCAGGGAACAGGGACGCAGCCCCCCTGCCCTTAGAAGGAGGCACAGACACAGGAGAGGTTCATCCCGGGGGGCGCACACAGCTGCAGACCTGTCTGGCATTGCGCAGAGTTGAGAGTTTGGTTTTGCAATGAAACAAGTCATTTTGCCTCGGGGGGG